TCTCTTTAGGCTAATAAGTAGGCTGGGCATTCAAACCGGTAACCCAGTCATACCGCCCAAACCAAACCGATGGGTTGGGTTAATTTGGTTTTTTTTCAATATTTTTTTGGTCGTCTATTTGAACCCAAATCAAACTGAAATATATGATTCGGTGTACGATTTTCAAATTCAAAACCAAGGTTTAACCAAACCAAACCGAAGATATTAAAAAATATTATATATAATACATAGTTTCAATCTTTTCTTTTTCTACTCTCTCAATCTCTCCGTCTGTCTTGTCTTCATCAATCCCTCTCTCTATTTTTTTTTTCTTCTCATTCTTCTTATATCTGTCTTCACTCCCTCTTCTTCTTTTTTCATTCTTCTTCTTCTTCTCTATCTCTCCCTCTTTTTTTTTCTTCTTCTCCTCTCCATCGCTTTTATTTCTTCTCTCTCTCTCTCTCTCTCTCTCTCTAAGAAAGCCAAAAAACCGAAATCGAACCAAACCAACCACCAAGTCCAATTAACCGAAGTGGTCGGTTTTCATCAATTATGGTTTGATTTCGGTTTTCAAAATAACCAAACCGAAACTTACGGTTCGGTGTTCGAGTTGAGCCCAAAACTGAACAAACCCAAACCAAGTCCAGGCCTACTAATAAGAGTAAATGCACAAACAAAAGAGGCTGTTTTATTTTATGACACCACTGCAGAAAGTAGCTTCTTTCTGCAAGTCCTGGAAAGCATGGGCTCTTGATCTTGACTTTGAGAGTGCTTTTCCAGAGCACACATCACACCCCCATCTCATCATCAATCAAAATGATCATGTTGGTAACACACCTTAAGACAACACCTTAATGCAATTCTACGTAGAATAATGCAGAAAAAATCCAACTATTTTCCATCTCTCTCTCTCTCTCTCTCTCTCTCTCTCTCTCTCTCTCTCTCACACACACACACACACACACACATGAGCTGATGTGAGAGAGAATTGGAAGCGTTGGGGGAAATAGTTGAGTGTCAACAATACCATGGCATGTGTTGTTTATAGAAAACAAAGCAAGGGGGGATAATCTAACAGGTTAAAGCCTCCTGGCCTTGCATGATGACAAAGTAGAGAGAGCATTATATTGTAATTTGTACACCAATAATTTGAAAAGGAGGCAAGGAAAAGTCAATTCAGGCAGAAAAAGATGAAAAAGAAAAAACTTGTAACTTCAGTCATTCACGCTGAAACCTATAGTCAGACAGACAAACTGACAGTTAGCTCCAATAAAAAGAAAATTAAAGAAAAAAACAAGCTTCAAAACTAAGTCATTCCCTCCATCATCCTATTGCGACCCCACAAAACCCAAATAATCCCATCCCATGATGGCTTCTTCAAGAAGATGTACGAATGAGTTAAAGATTACAGTCATTATGGTGTTTATCTTTTCTCTCACATTCTTGCCTTCCAATTCAGGTAACTGAAAAGAACCCATTGAAGTTGAGACATTGCTCTACTAAAAAAATATCTTGGTTTTGCTGATTTATTCTGGTTTTTTTTTTCTTCTTCTTCTTCTTTCTATAAGCTGAGCCAGTATTGGTGAGAGATGGTGCACATCAGGGCTTGAAAGAGCAAATGGAGATGGTGTTGGGTTCAAGTCCACCTAGGTGTGTTAAGAGGTGCATGGGTTGCATACCTTGCACGCCCACTCTTGTTGCTTCTGCACACCATGGGAATAATCATCTCAAGGCAGCAAATTCAAATCAGGGAGATGAAAGCTATTATCTCCTCTCATGGAAATGCAAATGCAGGAACAAGTTGTTCCAACCTTGAACATTTTGTTTTAGCTTAGCCAACCTAATCATTTTCCTTCCTACTTCCTTCCTATGTACTAAGTAGCAGCTTATGATATATATTTGATACAGAGACTGATTAATCTCACCCCATTTACTCTTTCATAAGTTTAAGTCTACCTACTCCTTTCATGGGTTGCATTGCATTGCTCTTTAAAATTGAGACTAATTGATTACCAGTACTTCGATTGTTGCCGTTTTGTGTATACTTCAGAAAAACATATCATGACATGAAGGCGGTAAACTAGTGCTTATTTTGATCTTGTTCAAGACATTTCGTTTGCAAAGAATTTTGGACCGTATGTCTAGTTGGATAATCAATACATATGGTAATTACTTGCAGGCAATAAGGGCCAAAAGAAAAAAACGAACCAAGAATTGTGCTTGCCGTTGGTGACGTTCATCAGAATCCCATGTCATGAACTTGCAGTGAAAAACTCGATACAAAAGAGAATTACTTATGGAACCATAAAGAAACCGCTACACTGGTGGATAAAATAAACAATCTTCATGATTATACATTGGGAGGATCATTTCCAACACACTAAATACACGGTGACATCTTTAGATGGAAAATTACTAGATTTTCTTTTCATGATTGTAGGCGTAACAATATTGAAACCAAAACTGACAAAAAAATATATATATACAAAAGACTACGACATACGGGGAACACACTAGTATGCTGTCTATTTTCAGTACATGTCCCAACGGAGAACACACTAGAATGCTGCTTACTGATTTGCATCACACCCCAAGGAAATGGATCAGCAAGTCATTGTTTGAAGCAGATTGGAACTAGCCATACCCTCCTTTGGTTTCCAAATAATGTCTTTTAATTTGGCACAGAAATTTTTGTAAAACTGCAAAAAGAATCACAGGAAAGATAAATTAACTGATGCAAGCATGCAATCTTCAAAGAGAGTTTACGAGGAGGAGAAACAAAATAAGAATCAGGTTTGAGAACTCGAGACCCACCCAAAAAAAAAATCATATTTGAGCAGCCAAGTACGATTAGTAAACATTAACGATAGACCTGAACTTATGAAATCCAGTAGAAGCTAACCTTATGATATTCAAGAGTATCTCCTGCAGCCTTTCGAACATCCACCATGAAAAGGGATGGTGCAACTTCATAAACCTTTATAGAAAAGATAACAATCATGTTAAACAGTGATTTTACTGAAATCAAGGCTTCGTTTCAAAGGATAACTACAATGGTTATGCAGACAAATATTAAAGTCACCTCGAGGACAACTGCAAATTGTCCGGCCTTATTTGAAGATATTCCTTCTAGTCTTGTCTGTGGTTCAAAAATTATACACGAGATCAGAACACACTATATCAAACAAAAAAGGAAGAACTAAAGGATTTTACAGGTAGCATCATCCACAGTTCATATTTTCTTCCAATCCACAGCACAAGGTAAACTTATAACTCAACCAAGATTGTTAGTCAATGTTTGGACTGTATATTACAAGGTGCAAAAACTTGATTATATAAAGTAAAGGCCAACATTACAAATCATACCTTGTAATTACGTGTATGGACCTTCAGACTCATTGATTCTGCAACAGCTTCTACATTTGAAATTATAACTTTAGCTGGTTTTCGGGAAACAAATCGAGTTTGCCGGTTTATGTAATCCTGCAAGGGGGAAAAAATGAAACTTGAGAGACAGAGAGACAGAGAAATACAGTAATACAAAATTCGATCAATTTGAAGGAATATAAAGAAATAGTTATCTGTATTTCCAACGAAAAGGTAGTAACAATTTGTAGAAAAGAAGAGAAACATGGCATACAAGGAATAAGAAAAAAGTACTATGTTACATGTTTTGACAAAATAACAAGTTAAAGCCTAGCCAAACGAATACTTGTCAAACTGTGAAGCAGTAATTGGGCACGAGAGATTTCTGAGAAATACGTGGCAGCAAAAGTACTGAAAGCATACAACTATACCTGTCTCCTGTCAAACAATGCTGATAGATTTAGCCCTTGGGATAGGGTAATCATCTCAAATGCGTTCATTAATAATGGACCGCCGTCCTTACTTTCTGATCTCTCTGCTACATATTGGTCCTGTGACAAACCGATAGTGAACAAATACTTTATACTTTAGGTACCAAATAGACTTTGAAATGCATAAACTAGGACAAACAATGAAAGCCATCACATTATCATTAATTTACTGTACCCTACTAATCTATAATCTATACTTCATAAGCATATAAACCACAAAATTGTGGAACTTGCATTGGAAAATTTCTTA